CGGATATTGCTCCTGAATCATTATAATAAGTTGATAGTTACCTTTAACAAAATGGGGGCTTTAGGAGCTTTTCAGTAAACTGATTTTATGAGAGATAATATATTTACCTTACATGAATTCTAGTCTACAGCCCCAGTTGAATGATATGGCACTGAGGAAATCTAGGAATAACTTCAGAGTCCCTGTTGATAATCATGGAGAACTAGAGTACTGCCTTAAGATGGATGTCTTTGTTCATTAGGGCAGCAACAGCAAAAGTACCGTAGACTAAATTGCTTATAAACCACAGAAATTTATTTCTCACTTGTATGGAGGCTGGCAATATCAAGGCTGGCAGATTCAGTGTCTGGTAAAAGGCCACTTCCTGGTTCACAAGCATCTGTCTTACTGTAACTTCATATGGTAGAAACAGCAAGTAAGTTCTCTATGCCTCTTTTATAAAGGGATTAATTATTTGTAAAAGAGCCCTCATGGTCTAATCACCTCTCAAAGTACCTGCCTTCTAATACTATCACATTGGGGTTAGAACTTCAACCCCAGTTTGTTTAAGGTGATATAAACACTGAATCTGTAGCAATGGCAAGCATCTGATTTTCACAAAAGGATACAGACCAGACCACAGAGTGCAGAAATGACAACATTCATGAGCTCTATGTCAGTACCTAGCAAAATAGGATTATTAAACAGATGGTTCGTGAGCACTTAGTTAATGAAATAGTGATCACTAGGAGCCACCATAAGTTCACCATAACAAATCACATCAAAATAACTTAATTTGTTTTAATAGGATTACTAGGTCAGGAACAACCATAGTCTGTATAAAGCATTTAACTAAGTTCTTTGTTGTGGACAAGTTGAAGAAATGTGGTCTTAATAGTAGTTAGGTAAGTATGTTCATGACTGACAGTATAATTATGTTCAGAACATAAATTATTTAGCAAGTGGCAATATAGGGATGTAGTTAAAGTATGGGTTCTGGGACTAGCCTTCCTGGGTTCAAATCCAGATTCTCCCACTTTCTAGTAGTTTAACCTTAGGCAAGCTCCATCATCTTTTAAGTTTTAATTCCCCACCTATAAAAATAGATATGATACTAATTATACTTACCTGTAGACATTGTAATGAAATTAAATGAATTATCACAAATCACACACAGAACGGTGAACACTTAACAAATAGTAACCACATGATAAATACCCTTAATAAATGTAGGAATTTTTTTTAACCAGGAAGAAAATCTGTAATGACTCACTGTTAAGACTTTTAGCCAAACCTGTCCCATTTGACATTTTTCTTCAAAACCCAAATGAAGACATAAGATTTGAATTTAAACATAACCTAAATATGGAAAAGAGAGAGTCAACACACACTGAATAGCAAAATTGGCTAACAATAGACCTTGCTTAAAAATAAATCTGAATTTGGCAAGATAAAATTTAATAAAGGATAAATATGAAATCCTTCCTAGTTTTGGCATTCATTTATACTTGCTTAAAAAAACTTTGTAAGAAAAAAAGATTTATGGATTTGACTTGATTAGAATTTGATTTAAGCAATGTTATTAAGATATAAAAAAATTAATAATTTAGTGACCAGAACAACAAACAGTTCCAATATTGGTTTGCTATATTAGATATTATATTCTGTTACAGATGATACAGTTTAATAGAAACATCAATAAATTGAGGCAATACACACAATGGTAAATATTTTATAAATTATAAGGAGGAATTAAGGGCACTTAATAACCTGGAAAAGGAAAGTGAGATATTAATCTTCAAATATCTTAAAAGATAATATATAAAATACAAATTGGATTTGTTTTGTAAGGCTCATTCAGAAGAACTAGCTTCAGGAGTGTGGATTTGACTTTGGTATAAATATTCGAGCAGAGGCAAGGTATGTACTTCTCAGAGGTATTGCAGTGAATTCCTACATTGTGTGGGAAATGATACCTTTAAGATCTCTTCCAGTGTTAACATTCCATAATGTGTCCAGGACTTTAATTTTATACATGTTGAACTTTATTTTGCTACTTTATCATCATAAATTAATAATGATAATCTGTAGGCTATGTTATATACCATTGTTTGAGTCAGCTTTTTCATTTCTGTAACTAAAGGACCTGACAAGAACAATTAGAGGAGGAAAAGTTTATTTGAGGGCTCCTGGTTTCGGAGGTCTTAGTCATAGAAGGCCAGCTCTCCATTCCTTGGGGGCTCAGGGTGAGGCAGAACATCATAGCAGAAGAGTGGTGGAGGAAAGTGGCTCAGGACATTGCACCAAGAAGCAGAAAGAGAGAGAGAGAGAGAGAGAGAGAGAGAGAGTGCTCTGCTCAACAAGGACCAAATATATACCCTAAAGGCACAGCCACAGGGACCCACTTCTTCCAGTCACATTCTACCTTGCCTAGAGTTACCAACCAGTTAATCCCTGACAGTGGATTAATGCACTTATTATGTTTAGGCTCTGATAACCCAATCATTTCACCTCTATAAACTTCTTGCATTGTCTTACACATGAGCTTTTGGGGGACACCCCCTATCTAAACCATAGCAACCATGAATTCCAAAACAGCTTCAATGGCAGTAGAAGTCAATCTGGAAGAGTAATTTGTTTGCCAGTCTTGTTAACAGACCTTTCCAATATATGGAATTTTTGTACTGTATTTCAGAAATGAATTGGCATCTGAGTCCAAAACATGTAGATAGGAACTTCTTTCAGAATTTTGAGAATGTACCTGCTGTCTATACATAGGGAACACAGTCTTTTAGGTCCATAAGAGATAAGAAATAAATGTAGAATCATATGCAAAGTATGTCAAATGCACATACATCTGAAGTTTCTGTTAACTTTTTAAAAAATATATTTTAACGCATTTTTAACCTTTATTTATTCATTTATTTTTATGTGGTGCTGAGGATCAAACCCACACATGCTAGGCAAGTGTTCTACCACTGTGCCACAACCCGAGCCTTCTGTTAACTTTTAATCACTAAAAATCCATTCATTTAGTAGTCTTTCAAAAATTCCCAAGATACTTAGTAGTGATTGGCAATTCTTTAGTTTGTTTAATTGTTGTACAACATATTTTAAAGACATAAAAAAGTGAAAACATTTTTTATGTTTTCCTCATGACAGCCCAAAATAATTGCTTTTTTTAGCATTTGAATGTAAACAATAAGGATTTTTATGAACCTTTTCCCTTAAAATGTTTGAACATGTTTTGAATGACTTTGTTATGCACGTGGTTCTATGCCAAAAATCTTTATTAAAACATCTTGGCAAAATTATGTGTTCTTTTCCATTGAACTTCTTCTATAACAGACTTAATATTATGTGGAAGATATTTGAAGACAAACTATAGCTATAATATAAAAGTACAGTTGCCCCTTTCTCTTGGTTCTTTAGATAAGTGGGCACTAGAAATTATAGGTAGTTTTGGCAAGAGTTCAAAGGTTAATGTAGCAGATAAATAAAAGGAATTTTCTGTAAATTGAGACCTGCATTATTTCAGTTGTCTTGTCTTTCCTAACCTAACTCATTTAATTTTAAAAAGTAAATACTTAAATTCTTCCTGACAGTGTGCTCAGCTTTTACTATCGTTTATTACTTCAATTATACTTGATATCACTTAGAACAATCTGCCATTTAGAAATCTCAGTATAGCCTGGAGCTTAGTATTAGATCTGGCTGCTATTGTAACATGTACAGCATATGACATTAATGTATCAAAATTAGATTGGATCATCCCTCCTGGTTAAATTTATTTCACATTTCTTTTGTATTCAGTTAACATAAACCTATTAGGGAAGCTGACACATGGGGATGGCTGTATAGGAAGGATATTTTTAAAGTATTTTGATTAAAAAATGAAATTATAGAGCCATGGCTTTTCTGAGTTGTGTAATCCTTTTTTTTTCTTTTAAAAAAATGTCACAAAGTCCACATCCCATATTTATATCATTCCAGTTATGTTATATACAGGCATAAAGGGGTAACTACAAGATTAAGGAGTTAACTCCAGGGTTAAGGAGTGACAGAAGAGAGCCTTTCAGTAATTGAACTTAACTCCTGTCTTTAAGTCACATATTGTTTTTTTGCTTACCCTATGCCCTTAATCAAAAATAAATGACACATTTTTTAAATAGAAATTTCTTATACATTAGCATAAAAACTATCCCTAGTTTTGTCTTCAAACTTTCCCACCTTTAATGTGACTAGAATATCGCAAAGTAAACTGAAAGTGGACTCAAATGTATTAAGTGGCAGAATCAATAAATGTACTAGAATAATAAAATTTATGTTTTACAGTAAGAATAAAATTCAAGAATCATAGGCATTAAGTTAATTTTTTTAATAATTTACAAGAAATCCAGCTTTGGATGCTTTATTTTGATGCAGTTTTAATTATAACATTAACTCAGATTGCCAGAAACACCTTTGTAACCATTACAGGTATCTAAATAACATTTTAAAGGCCTAATAACTCTCAAGATAGTTTCATAGACAAAGAAAACCTGGAAATTTGTTAAACCACACTTTGTATTACTCAATAAGTGATCATCCAATTCATGAATTATCTATTTCTTTTATTTCTCTTCCTGTTGCCTCCTTCAGGCCACTTTACCACTCATTAGCACTTCCAGAGAGTGGTCAGAAAAAGAAGAATCTCAAATCAGTCACTCTTGTAAACAATCTTTAAAAGTTTGGTAGTAAAGAATTGGTGCAGTTGCTAGTTAAGAAAAATTGACTATATGTGAATCTTTTTAAGTTCTCTCTGCTTCTCATTGACTGTGTGCAGTTAAGATTGACTTCTGCAGTGTCTCACACTGTCTTTAAATGTGTTTCATATGTTGTGAAAATGACCAAATGAAATTTAATCTTTTTTTATTTATTTACATTTTCTCCTTTTTATAGTATGTTGTTGTTACTAACTATATGACTATACTCAAAGAGCTTTTTATAAGGCACTATAAATTATTTTCTTGGTTTTCCAGTTGAGACATTTAGGAAATGATGAAGTGCACATTGTTTGGTCAGAGCATACCAGAGACTACAGGAGAGGAATTATTCCTACAGAATTTGGCGATGTTCTTATTATAATATATCCAATGAAAAATCACATGTTCAGTATCCAGATAATGAAAAAGCCAGAGGTAAGAACTCCTTTGCTCCCATTTTTAATACTAGATTTTGAGTTCTGTATGGATTTGTGAATTCTTTCCATCTTATAGAAGAAAAATTAGACCAGGCATCAAATTGTGAAAATGGGGGGAAATGCAACCCAGTCTCTGATAGCAGAGTAGATTATCTTAAACCTGGTACAGAAGGAAATAAAACAGGATAAATAACAAGAAACTGCTCAAATGGGAGATGGCTCAATAGTGTCAGGGTGAAAGTTTCTGAATACTAATCTCATTAAAGGACCTATCTTTCACTAAAAGAACGATCATTGGGAGGTCAAGGCAGGAGAATGGTGAATTCAAAGTCAGCCTCAGCAATTTAGCAAAACCCTGAGCAATTTAGGAATACCCCTGTCTGTAAATAAAATATAAAAAGGGACTGGGGATGAGTCTCAGTGTTTTAAGTGCCCTTGGGTTCAGTCCCCCAAACCCCCCCAAAAATGATCATTTCCTAAAAGACTCAGAAGTAAACCCTCCCTTTAGAACAAGAATATGTGATTCCTATATTTTTATTTTATATGCTTATTAAAATTTTGTGAATATTTAGTCATGTTGCTTAATAAATGAGGACACTACAAATTTAAAAATAATAAAATAAAAATAAAAAGCCTACTTCTGTAACCTTTCCTACGGTTGAATGTCTTTTGTATTACAGCATAGGGTTAAAATGGCTATTACAAAAGTATTTCAAGATCAGAGAAGTTTGCTATTATTTTGTTGCATTTCTTTCTTTCTTTTTTTAAGCTTAACTTTTTTAGTAGAAAACTTACTCTTTGATAATTGATCAAGAATCTTCAGAATTCCTTGGATTGGGTTAAGCTTTTCATGTGTGAATTTTGCTGATGGCCAGTTTTTTAAAAGTTTTTATAAACCAGAGGTTAACATGCCATGGCCCACAGCCTGACTTTGTACAACCCACAAGCTAAGAATTATTTTTTTACATTTTTCTTTTTAAAATTTTTTTTGACAAATAAGACAGTTTGTGGCCACAAAGCCTAAAATCCTCACTATGCCTTCCACAGCTTATTTCCATGCCTTCAGCTACCTTTTGTGCCATCGATATTCATATAAAATAATGTGTGTTGGTAGAGGAGCAATGCTGGGGATTGAACCCAGCTAGGCAGACACTCTAGCACTAAGCTATACCCCCAGGCCTACCTAAATAGAATAACTTTTGAAATTGTCATTCCCCTGTTGAAAATGGCATTTAATTTCAAAACACAGATTTTTTTTTTTCCTAATATACCAAGGTAAAGTATTTTAGGTTCTGTAGTAAAGGTAGTCTCTCACAAAAGTATGAAAGACTTCCTGACTATAAAGATATATATCTTTCCTGTGTTTGCTCAGTGAGGAATAGGAATTTACTTCTAGCATTAGGTTTCTATATATAATTGAAACTACAAAATTTTGAAAATTGGCAGGATACATAAATTATTTAGTTGGTTACATGAAGCACATGGCTGTTTTGCATAGACACCCTGTAGAACATTGGCATTTTTTGTTTATGGTCTAGGATAAGTGATCCAGCATGGAAAATAATTTAATTATTGAACAGATTTTTTTACTCAAGGAAGAACTAAAGAAGCAGAAACACTTTTGAATGCAAAATGTTCTTGATTGCTCTTGTTTATAGTCTTTCTACAATTTAAATATAAAATTGTTTTCATTTCTTTATTAGGTTCCCTTCTTTGGTCCACTTTTTGATGGTGCTATTGTGAATGGGAAGGTTCTACCCATTATGGTTCGAGCAACAGCTATAAATGCAAGCCGTGCTCTGAAATCACTGATTCCTTTGTATCAAAACTTGTATCCTTTTTAAACAATATGGTTTCTACTCTAATGTATGTCTGCTTTTCCAAGGTAAATATTTCTGTTTGAAGACCGTTGGGTTAGTTTCTGTTTATTGATAAACCAATGGTGGAGTTCCTCCCCATTGATTTGAGTACTTATGATATATGAGTGATGTATTTTCTTTTATATAATTTTAATCAGTACTAATCTTTTGGTTAATTAATGAGAGTTGCATTATTTGTGGACATTCTGTTGCTCTGAAGATGCAGAAATAATCAAAAGTCATTGCAAAGAACTCAGTCTTATTGGGGAAACATATTGTTTTCAACATACATGCAATATGTATACTAACAAGGGGCCCCCACTCAGCTGGAGGGGATAGTGTTATCAGGAAACACTTCTGACGAATGTGAGGATTAAACCAATCTTGAGGGACAAATAAGAGTTAATCAGATTGATGAGATTAAGAGCTTTCCTAATAGAACAATATAAACAGAGACATGGAAGTATGAGAGGACATGCAGTAATTAAGACTGTAGTTTCTGGAGCCAGATTATACTCAAATTCTGGCTTTTCTTAAACTGTGTTTTCTATAACATCTCTGGGCCTCAATTACTTATCTGTAAAATAAGAATAATTGTAATAGCTAGCACCTGTTGTTACAAGAACTAATAATGACTCATACGTAAAGCTCTTAAGATAGTGCCAAGTATACAGCACATAGAAAGTTTTCAACTATTTTCTGATGGTCTTTTATAAAATGAATTTGTGTTTTTCATATACTTTTTTCAATATGATTAACACTATTTCATTATTACTGTTCTTTAACACAATAAGCTATAAATATTAGGATTTAAAAGGAAGGCTTTTAAAAATGTTTCATTCCACATGACATAGATATAACTTGGTAATCTGCCACAAATATTTTTTCTTTTGATGAAAATCTACTTAAGAACTCTGATTCCTACTTAATTTCTCATATATTCTGACACTGAAATAAAATTACAAATGGATTATTGTATGTTAAATTGATAAAGCTTAATGATGTTTTGGGGCTGGGGTTGTGGCTCAGCAGTATAGCACTTGCTTAGCACATGTGAGGCACTGGATTTGATCCTCAGCACCTCATGAAAATAAATAAATAAAATAAAGATATTGTGTCTATCTACAACTAAAAATTTTTTTAAAAGCTTAATAATATTTATATAACATTTTTTATTTGTAACATTTATATCTTTACTTACTTTAAATTAAAAATATGTTAAGTTTTTGAGTGAGTCATTTTAGGGAAATGATAATTCAGGAGATTTACATTATTAAAAATATAATTTGGAGTGTGTGCCTATAGTCCCAGATGCTTGGAAGGTTGTGTGAGCCCACAAGTTTGAGACCAGCCTGGGCCACATAGCATGATCCTGTCTCAAAAAATGACACTAGGAGGAGTCTACTAAATGGAGATGTATAAATTGGAAAGAATTTTTTTTTTATTTTTTACATAGTATTTTTAAATTAGTGCTTTATAAATATACATAAAGGTGAAATTTACTGTGGTGTATTCATATATGTACATGGGATAGTTTGGTCAATTTCATTCCAGTTTCTTCCATTTCCCATCCCTCTCCTTTCCCCTCAAACCACCCTACACACACACACACACACACACACACACACACACACACACACTTTCTGTACTCCAGTGATCTCCCTTCTATTTTCATGGAATTCCCTTCCCTTACCCTCCCCCCTTCTTATTATTATTTTGGTCTTTGGTCTAGGTTTTGGATATGAGAGCAAGCATTCAACCCTTGACTTTCTGAGTCTGGCTTATTCCACTTAGCATAATGTTCTCTAGTTATATCCATTTGCCAGCAAATGCTAGAATTTCATTCTTTTTTATGGCTGAGTAAAACTCCGTTGTGTATATATACCACATTTTCTTTATCCATTCATCTGTTAACAGGCATTTTGGCTGGTTACATAACTTGGCTATTGTGAATTGTACTACTATGAACACTGATGTGGCTATATAACTAAAGTATGCTGATTTTGGTTCCTTTGGGTAAATACCAAGGAATGGGATAGCTGGGTCATAGAGTGGTTCCATTACTCATTTTTTGAGGAATCTCCATACTTGGGGTCCCACCAACAATTTGAGTGTACCTTTTTCCCCACATTCCTTGCCAGCCAGAATTTTTCTTGATAATTGGCATTATGATTGGGGTGAAATGAAATTGATTTGCATTTTTGTCCATCATTTGTATTTCCTCTTTTGAAAAATGTCTGTTTAGTTCTTCTGCCCATTTATTAATTGGGTTATTTGGTCTTTTATGTTAAGTTTTTGAGTTCTTTATATATTCTGGATTTTAATCCCCTGGGAGTGGGTAGCAGTGATATTCTCCCATTCTGTAGTCTCTCTCTTCATACTGTTTGTTTCCTTTGCTGTGCAAAAGCTTTTTAATTTGATGCCATCCCACTTACTGATTCTTCGTTTTATTTTTTACGCTTTAGGAGTCTTGTTAAGGAAGACAGTGCCTGTGCCAGTATGTTGGAATGTTGAGCCTATATTTTCTTCTAGCAGTTGCTAATTTCTGGTTCAGTTCTTAGGTCTTTGATCCACTTGGAATTGACTTGTGCAGGGTAAGAAGAGGATTTGGTATCATTTTATATATTTTTTTTCACACACACACACATATGTGTGTGTGTGTGTGTGTGTGTGTATATAAAGTTGTAGTTGGACACAATACGTTTATTTATTTATTTTTATTTTTACGTGGTGCTGAGGATTGGACTCAGTGCCTTGCATATATGCTAGGTGAGTGCTCTACCACTGAGCCACAACCCCAGCCCATTAGTGTCAATCTTCTACATATGGATATATAATTTGAAAAGAAATTTCAGTGGGCAAGTTCAGTAAGTGATTAGTGTAAACATGGAGAAAGTATTTATTAATGTATTCATTCATTCATTTATTTATTTTCGTGCCAGGGATTGAGGGGCACTCAACCACTGAGCCACATCCCCCAGCTCTGTTTTTGTATTTTATTTAGAGACAGGGTCTCATGGAGTTGCTTAGCACCTCACTATTGCTGAGGCAACCCTCCTGTCTCAGCTTCCTGAGCTGCTGGGATTACAGATGTGCGCCACAGCGCCCTTAGTTTCTAAATCTCTTCTCTTTGTACAGTGTGTTGGTTGTTCTTGTGAATTGTTTTGAAAAGTATGCAAGTTGCTTATTGTTTTGAAGCAATTAGGAGAATCTATTCAAGAAGACCATTCAGAGTTTTTGTAAAGCCAGCTGAGTGTACCCAGTAATCAGGGTTATTTGCATTACCTTCAGAGCCTGGAATCTTGAAAGTCATTTCATCAGATGTGATTAATTCATCAAACTCATAGTTTCCCATTTTTAAAGTCTACATACCATATGATTTCTTAGGAAAATCAGGGGCCAAGGTAACTCAGTGGTAGAGCACTTGCCTGGCAAATATGAGTTCCTGAGTTCAATCCCTAACACCTTAAAAAAAAGTGGGGTGGGGCAGCTCCACTCCCAAGATACAGTATCTTATTCTTTTGTACAAAACAAGATACTTAAGTAACCAATTCTCCTCTTCCTCATCTACCTTTTCTAAATTTCTCTTCTGATTTTCATCTCATTGTAATTCTTTCATAAAAGCTTTGAAGTAAAAAAAAAAACCAATAAAAAAAAAAAAAGCTTTGAAGTCTTAAATCTGTTTCTTGGAGCATATTTTTCAGTTTATTATCTCCTGTATATCTCTAGAAAGGTAGCTAATCTTACATGAAATATACAGTTACCCATAAAATAATTTTATCCACATAGCTTCACCAAAGATGTCTTTGTGACCTTTACCTCTTTCACAGTTCACCTAATCCTGTTGTTCACCCTGAGGTTTAGTGTCCTCCACAATTTCACTTTCTCAGTTGAAAGTAGAGCACAGAGGTGGATGTGAAGGAGTTTGCATTTTCCTTTACACACACACACATACACACGCCTTAAATTTTTTTGGAAAGTAGCAAAATTAGATTAGATTGAAATGCAAAACTCTATTTACCTCTTGTGTCATAAAACAAGAAATCCATTTATTGAGCAAATTTTTGACCTGAAGTACAAACAACGTTTAAGATGCACACTTCTCCAAGACGTTAAAAAATACAAAATCAACAATGTTGGGAATATAACTTAAATATTTTTTAAAATCAACTTCACATTCTTCTGTTCAGATTTTCATGTAATACTAGAGGTGCAAAAGTTGGATTTGCAGTTGTAAATAATGATTTTTAACTTGACCTCTGTCTTGCGGTCTTGTTCATGTTACAGAATCTTTTATTGTTTTTTGCATTGCTGGGGGTAGAACCCATGGCCTGACCATGCTAGGTAAGCTCTCTACCACTGACCCACTCTGCCAGCCCAAGTTATAGAATCTTTGAATCTCACTTTCTTCATCTGTAAAAATATACTAATGCCCGTCTAAGAATTGTGAAAATTACATAAGATAAATGACTTTGGATGTGCTTAGTAAATATAGTAAGTTGCATTAGTTTGACCAATGATGAATTCTGTTATGTGTAAAAATTACAGTCAATATAACATAATCCACCCAATACCAAGGTTACCTGATTATGTTTCTATGTTTGGTTGGTTAGTAGATTGATTTGTTGGATTATCAGACCTACTTCATGACATGCTTAATAGTTAATCATGTTGAGACATTAATAGATACCATGTTGGAGAAAATTCTAGGATGAAGAGAGACAATTGCAAATGAAAATAGAAAACATAAACAGTGTATTTTAGCAGCAAATCTGAATAGTTCCTACCAGAAAAATTGTGTGTGGAACACTTTAGAGTGAAAACATTAAACCAGATTAAACAAATTTTTCTTTACATAGAAGCTTGAATTTAGAAGCTATAGGAAATTTTTTTTCAAAACTGTTTTTTTTAAATATTTTTAATTGTAGATGGACACAATATCTTTATTCTATTTATTTATTTTTATGTGGTG